TTTCCCAACTGTGGTGAATTGATGCGAAGAAATGTTGTAGATGGAAGTAGTAGTAGGCTTCGTGAGAAACTTACATATGTAGAAGTCGCCTAGCGTCACGCTGAAAATGATCAACAGCTGAATTGAAAAATGGATACCGCACTGTGAAGAATTCCTTGATTTTATTAGACCGACAGCGGAGCCGAGGTTGTTGTCGGAGTCGGAGTGGAGGGGTTTGGGAGTACAGCAGAGTCGTGGATGGGTGCACTATGAGAATCACAGGTTGGTCGTGGTCTACTGTAGGGGGGCGTTTTAATGCCACTAACGATTGGGAGCTGCATGAGGTATCTTTGATCGATTTGAGTGGGAGCATAATACGACTTTGAAAGGGGTTCCTTATAGTTCATGTATGAGTCAGTAATTGTTCAAGTTACGGTAATGTCGATTTGATCGCGCTTTTCTCGCCTTGTGGCAGGCCGGAGCCGCATATTCTCCTTTTCCGTCGACCCTTGGGTACCAACCCGTTGACGGGCCAAGTCGACAGAGCGCCGGGAGAGATGCAGCCGCCTCCCCAGGCGAACATTGTGAGATGAAAGAGAAGTGAGTCGGACCACTTGTGCATCGCTCCGCTCAGTTTTTGTTGAATGTTTGTTATTTTCTGTGTTTGAAGTGTCCTTTAGGTGATGGGCATCGGAGTTGGAGGTAATTCATGATGATTATATTTCCTGATTAATTGGCTCTGGTTGAGTTATAGTTATTGGAGGGGACGATCGTTTGTGGTCTACATGTGAGAGTATAGGGAGCTGTTGGTCAATGATAGATTCCATTGAGGCTATGTGCCTTGAATTAGCTCTAGTGAAGAAATGAATATCGCAGCGTGCTCGGGAGAAATCGGGAAAGTTACATTGTTTGGTTATTCTTGTGGCATAATGGATATGGTATTAGTCTTCAGAAATGAAGATTGTGAGTTCGAATCTCACTGAGATCGTCTCAGTCGATAGAAGCATTGTTTTCGTTGTCAGTGGAAGTTCAGATATGCTAGTTTGGGAGGGCAGTAGTCGCAGGTCACTGGACGGAACCCGTAAACACGAATCCACGATCCTGTGACCGGTTAAAGTAGTGTGACCTCAATTTAAACCTCCCCTCTCCCGTCAGACATTTAAATTCAGCCAACTTCAAAGTCGAACGAACTTTCTAATATGAAGTTTAGAAAGTTCTATTTGAAAATGTTCAATTCCGATTTCGAGATCATTAAAAATGATTTTTCCCTCAACTTTTCTTCGACTGGAATTTTCCCTAATTCTCTTCGGAAGGGAACGAACATTCACCGTGAATGATTCACGGCGGAACCAATCTGATCTGGTAATAGTCGGGGCCAGCTTTATGATTGGCCGCTTTCATGGGGCCGTAAATTGCATCAAGAGGCCGCGGGGTCTGTAAGATGTTATTGAGGTCTGTAATGATGTTCCAGTGATATTGAGTACTCATTGTGTTCTGCATCGACTCAACTCATGTGTAGGGTACACCCGTAACAGTCCCGGGTGCTCTTCCAACTGTTTAGCGGTAGAGTCTGTCATGCGCCTTGTCTACAACATCTTATCTCGGAGTTCAATACAGAAGCGAATCTACAAGGGGCTCGTGAAGCACTTCTCTGGGGCTATTTTGTTGGTCCAACTAGTAGCTCAGCTCGTATGTTACATAGCCCAGATTTGAATAGGGTGCCGCTTCAGTCATTTCACGAAAAATTGGAAGAGAGAGGAAGATTCGAAAAATTCACGAAGAAATTTTTTTCGCTTCATTTTTTTCAACAAGGTGAGGCGAGAAGGAAGAAACGTGAGGAGAGTTACAGCCTGTAACTCCCCCACCTGTAACTTACAGGGAGGAGGGGCTCGAACGAGGTGTCGAGAACTTCAGGGATTGATCTTTCATGGATGAAGAAACCTCCCTCTTCGGTCAAAGTATATTTGCGTTTTTGTCCGATTTTTACACGGTTGACCGAGTTGCTAGAAGGTCTGGTTGTCAAGCTGCGCCACGGTGGCGCAGCTTACGTGCTACACAACGCGTGTGACACATGACATGCGATGTCGAGCAGGCACAAGGCCGCCATGTCGTGGCGAGGAACGCCAGATGTGTCCACCGGACTGTGAGCAGGGATATTGCGCTGGGTCTTAGGTTTTCTCAAGTGCTTTCAAAAAACCAGCTCGTTAAATGCTATCGAAAGAATACTTGAAATATGCCTATTGCCCTCCGAGGCTCGGAGTCCGAGCAAAGCGGCCATGCGGGGTGATAATCTTCGTCGACACATTCAGACTGACCATCCTGGGAAGCTCTTCAAGTTCCGTCCCCCCACAAGTTCCATCCCGATCTCAAGCAAATTCTGACCTGTATCCACGGATCGCGAACCTCATGGCACGAAACGACCACGTTCTGATGGGACGGTTGATGACGTCGCTTCTCCTGGCGTTGGTGTCGATAATGACCAGCCTGGCACCTCTTCATCGGCGCCAGCAGCAGCTACGGGGACAGATTTTTCTATCACCGATCTCGAAAGAGACAGCGAAGA